ACAAATAATTTGATTTGTTAATAAAAATAATGAAATAAAATATTTATATTTAGAATTTAAATTCAATTTTACCTTATCTCACATTGAATATCAATAGAAAACTAGAAGATGATCTCTCATTTAAAAAGGAATATCATGATGGTAGAAGTCACTATTGAACTTGCTAATAAAAACAAGTGAGCCTCAAGTTATTTCAATTTTTTTAAAGAACGTTGATTTTTCTTTCCCTAATTTTTATTAATTTCGGATTGGATATCCGATAACATAGTAAATCGGATATGGATTTAACAATCAAATATCCATTGGATTATCGGATCGGATCGGATATAGACAAATCTGATCCATATCTGATCCATTTACAGCTCTAGTTGTATGTAACTTTCTTAAGCCCTTGTTTGTTTTTTATTCTTTCAAAACTTTTTTTATGCTCTCATTTTCAACCACACATTCATACAATAAAATATTCTACATGTAAATTCAAATTTTTTCCATATATTTTAATCACACACTATCCAAAAATTCACTATTCAAGAAAATGTTTTTCATAGGAAATTAACATTTCCAAGTGATTTTACGTAATTGATGTCTCAACTAAATTGCAGATAGGGTCCCAGGAAAACTTTAGCACAGGTTACAAGTCTGTGCATGACCGTGAAACAAAAACTTTCAAATACTTCTATTGAAATTTTGGCTATAATCTGTCGCCATTATAAAGTTATTTACAATGCTCGTGTAGAGACACTGAGCAACGAGCAGTCCATCAAAAGTATGAAATTGCATTTACATGGTAAATTAACTACTACGGTACATTTTAGACGATAAGTAGACAAGTACATTACCCCTACGGTACACAATATTAGATAGTATAATGAACATGATTTTAACTTTTTTTTCTTCTTTAATACTACCGAGACTGTCCAATCCTCCCACCCAAACAGTTACTTAGTAACTGCTAAGCGTTCCCAGTGAGTTGAAAAATGCAAGCATTCTGTCATAAACGTCTTCCTTTGATCTTGTGCTCACAAGGAAATCTAGATGACCATAATTTTCTAGATAGAGCAAATCTGGCTTTGATCGTAATTCCTTGAGAGTATGCTGCAAATCGGTAAAGTCTGCTAAGGCATCATTCCCCCCGTATCCCATCCATAATGGTAAGGAACTGGGAATTCGGCTAAGATCAAATTTTGGCGGCTTCAGTTGGCCATAGTGCCTCATGTTTTTCCACCTTCCATAGTCGTACATTGCGAAAGTACCTTCACGGATCACTGTTGCAAAATTGTGAAAGAGCATTAGTGCCGGGAGATAAGAAGAAAGGAAGTGGCAAATATGCCAGGTGCAGTCAGAATCCACACAAACAACAAAATCGAGAGGCAAACCCTCTTTCACGGTGTAGATACACTGCTGGTCACTGAACTTAAATATAATATAGTCATTCTGACTATATTCATTGCTTTGACTAAAGGAAAAAGGTTACTTGGTAGTTTAGGTATTTGCCATCTAAACCTCTATATAGCTTGTACGTTAGTCAAACTACGCAAGAAAAAGAAAGCTGCTGACCCTATGCATTATGAAAATGTAACAAAAGTTCTGCTTGAATTTCGTTCATGGTTGACAGCTTCTTCGACATTGTGTGATGTGTCATACAATTTTGCCATTGATTTTAAAAACACTAAAACAATCAACAGCCTTGATTTTTACACCTCACACAATGTCAACCATAATTGTACAAGTAGATTAATTCTTGTTACAAATGTTTGAGTTTAGTGACCCAATTGGAACAAAACGAAAACTTCTCCAATTCTGGTGTCCTCTTTTCTTTTCTCTGTCTTTCATTTTTCATTTTTGCAGGGTGGGGGTGGGAGTAAATTAGGGAACTTACTAGGGAAAATGAAGATAAATTATGTAATGCGTGTGTGGAACAAAGCTAGCCACAAAATATAAAGCATAAAAGCATACTCTGAAAGAGATGATTCAAATTCTTTGCAGATGTTGGATGCGGTTCGTATTCAAGATAGAAATCGATCCGAGAGCTATTGAAGCAACAATTCTTCCCTGCAAGTAACAACAGATTGCTTAAGCTTTAAAAGGCAGTTAAAGCAGTATCACAAACATAAGTGAACGGTCTGATGCCAAACCGCATTTTCTTCAAGACTCAGTTTGTTTGGATAAACATGCATCACAATACCAAAAAGTTGTCAGTTGATAATATTGCATTTCTAAAACAGCATGATTCCTTCCAAAAAAAAAAAAAGGCTACCATTTATGTTCATAGATCTGCTGACAATATTGTTTTAATTGATGCAACAAGATTATAGAGTACAGCATAACTAGATATATTTGTTAAGATCACCTGACACAGTCACAGAGCAAAAGCAGTTATGACCGGCCATATTTTAATAGCATACTGTGTTGAACCACTAATAAAAAAAGCTTTCACTGATCAAAACTCTACCTTGACAACAAATGATCACATCAGAAATGACGCCTGAATCAAAAGTAGCACCTATCGGAGATGGAATAAATGAAAATTGTTTTCAAGACAATTAGGAAGCGAGTAATTCAGTACAAGCAAGTTGATCCGTCCCACGCAAAACCAATATTATCACAAAAACAATATTCCAAATTTGTCATACAATCATTTTAACCTAAAAGAAATGAGCAAGGGTATTAAAGCATTAATGCCTCTTCTGGAACATTCTCAAATATTGTTTTTAGCTGTCTGACATATGAGCCCATGTGCTATAGCATTCGAAAATGGCTCTATTTGAGGTATTTCTGCGAACACTCGAGGTTTAGAAAATGTAATTTTAAGAATTAAGTGATCCTGTCAAAAGAACTGAAACAGTACCAAAATGTTTTCTCATATAAGACAAATAAGTTTGTTTTCTTTTTTCCAACATGTGTAGCTACCTGTCATCATACTATTAAAAACACCCGTACACATTTCTATCAGACTTTCAAGTTATATTTCCAGCATAACAGTCCCAAAAAGGCTGAACAATTGGGTGGACAGAGAATCCTATACTTCTGAGATCAAGCTGTTAGTGTATCATACAACAAAATAACTCTCTTGCTTTCATTCGTTTCATTCCACCTGAAACTTTCTCACGAGACAATGAGAGTTGCCAAAGCGACTAGGCTTTTTTTAATGGCAACTAAAGCCAATCAACCTAGCTTTCTAGCAGAAAGTGCAAGTATTTGTCCATTCAATGTTCTATCATACACCTTATTATCCAAAAGATGTATTGAAGACACAATTTAAATGCATAATTTTGTAACCTCTTATAGCTTAACATTTTAAATAAGGAGGTTCAACATGATATCATAGCAGACAAAGATCCTGTGTTCAAATCTTACCTACATTCATTTATGAAAATTGGGTAGGTGTCATGGCATTTTGGAAAAATGGAATCTGCCCTTCTAGTGAAAGGGCGTATCAAAGACTAAAATTACATTACAAACGTGTCCCCTTTCCACAACTAAAGCTTTTAGATGAGGTCGATCAACAAGGTGCAATACAAATAAAGAAACAACTAGTTATGGTTAGAGGACCTGTAACAGAAGTTAGCAAGTCACCACAATCTACATGTCCGTCGCACATCATATCCATGAGGCGAGTACACCAGTCACTGAATGCATCAGAGGAGATAGTTAAGCTAATAAAATTATAACTAGAAAGCTAGACTATCACTAAGGAACAGATAAAAAAATAGATGTTAAAAGACCTTTTAAAATTGAGTTCATGAATGCCCATTGCAAGAAAAACCTGTAATAAAATAACTGTTTTTCAGTAAGACTGGAAACATTTCCAGCAAGAAAAACGTCAGGGCACAAAACAAACCTGATCAAGATGCATTTTAACTAATCTAAGAGGCAATGCAGCAGTGATATGATTCAAATATGTTATAGGACACAGAAGTGCAGCTGCTCCAACCATTTCTACTATATCTGGTTGAGTAAAGGCAGCCAGAGAAATTATTGTTCCCTATAAAAGAAGCAGATATATCATGAGCCACAATATCATCCTGTATGCAATAAAGCAAAACTCAAGCTATCATAAGATTGAAAACCTGAGAATGTCCAATGACAAACACTTTCGAGTTTGTTAATGTGTATATATAACGAATCATTTCTCGCAGATCGTTAAGAGCATAATCCTGCCAGCTCCAATCCCAGAATTCCTTAAACAAACAAGCACTAACTAAAAATCAGATCACTGGCTGACGTGAAATGTATAAAAATGCTGCTTCATATAAAAGGAAAGTTTCCAGCATCATATGCATGAATTTTTCACATTAAATGATAAGTGTCTTAGACAAATCAGGTAATCATCTTGCAAGATTTGAGAGGCAACAAATTCGTCAAATGCTCTGGCTCAGATTTTAACAATGCCATTTGTTGATAAATGTCCATATAAACTGAACCTATACGAGTTTCTCATGCTTTCATTTCAAAAATAGCTTAATAATCATTGTGAAAAGAATGAATATTATGGATATCTACGAATCATCATATGAGAGTTTACTTAATATATCATCATTATTCATTAAGAAACAAGGAGATAACTGAAACTTGTAGTAGACAAGGCTAGCCAAAGATTTGAGCAAGTACAAAGACTGATGATCATTTAAACATAAACCTGTCTTTCTTTTTTGTTCGTTGGAACCTTCTTCTGATGATATTTAACAGTAAGAATTCTTATTACAAATAGGTATTCAAAGCATAAGGAGTACCCTATCTTTCTCTGATAAAGATACATGGCCATGACACCAGCGTGTCCCACGCACATTACCAACCCAGACATCGAAACCACGATTTGCAAGGACAAACCCCAAGGACTGATTTGGGTTATCCAAGAACCATGCATCACCTGCCTGTTAAATCATGGATTATGCAATTAGTCAATGGAATAGGGTCAGATATAAAGTTCACAGAACTGCAAACACAATTTCATTAGTATGATCAAAGTAGAAGAACCATTAAACGGAAAGCCATTAGTTTACACTTTTTCGGGCATGGACTAATAAGTAATTACACAGAAAGCAAGCATTTGGATATGCACTCCCCAGTGTTGGTCAAAATTAAGAAATGTGGCTATACTTGCACAGAGCATAATTCCACTATCAAAACAAACTTAGGACAGAGCTCAAGCTTCATCAAGCGGAAAAATGGTTTCAATTTGCATGATGGAATGCTAAGTTCACGTCAAACTAAGGTTCCCCTTTATCAAGAAGATTGCATTGTTAAGTTCAAACACGTAATAAAGATAGGCATACATTGAAAATGAAATATTTTGAAGCCGACAAAATAGTAAATATAGAAGAGACTTTTTTTGGGCCTCAAAGTTTGCTATATCCATATAAAGAAAAGAACGAGTGAGAAAAGAATTACCATAAAAAGTCCATGAATAAGCAGAACTGGAGGACCCCTTTGTCTTCTGAGATTTCCAGAGCTAGATGACACACGCTGAAGTCCCAGTATGAACCCGTCTTTTGTTTGTGTCTATAACAATTGATCACACACCTCACTTAATAGTATCATTTAACCATACAAATGAAAAAATAGCTTAAAAATAAAATCGGTCAGGCTAATGATCATGTAATTCAAATCAAGATTACAAGAATTGTACATTATCTATTTGTGATTAAAAACTACTCTTCATCATATAATTCCCACAGCCAATGCTATATGATCATTTGATTCATTTTGCTAGCAAAAACACTTCCTGGTGCTCATTAAGTTCTAAACTCCTAATTATCACGGTTACGGGCAATATCGCTTTACATATAAAAACAATTATCAATGCAGAGTTTGGGCAAATCCTAGTTAACATTTATTTTTAATATAGAATCTCCCGAAGCTCAAAATTCTGTCAGAGTTTTTAGATTGATGTTGTCAACTAGCCACCCCTTAATTAAATGAAAACATGAAAACGATAATCAACATTTTGACCTATTCTTCTTACTAACATAATATGATTTAGAAAAACCAAAACATAAATAGCAACGATGCCAGTAAAGTAAATTTTAATACATAAACAGAGAGATTACTTGGTGTTCTGAGCAAGGGAAACCAGAAGGTTCAATGAGTTGAGCGCAAAGCCCAGCTACAGGTGACTTTCGCCGGAGGATTGAGGCGTCGTTGAAGTCTTCGGCGGACTTCACAGCGGACAGGATGAGACTACTTAACAGAAACATCGTCACCGCCGCCTGCGCCGCCGAAAGCTCCATCGTCTTCCGATAAGAACGGCGGGAAGATCTCCAATGCGTTCACTAACAGCAGTTAAATGTAGGATGATCAGATAATTTTATCTGGGCCACAAGTTGCGGGATTTTGCTTTGCTGTAATTACGTGATTATACGCGCAGATAGGCGCGTCGATGTATATAAATGCTGCACATCTTGAAAGTGCAGCGGTCATCCTGCTTTAAAGCAAAGTTTCATTTCAGTCACTCACTTTAATTCGTTTCAAAGTCACCACTCAACTTTACTTTTAGTTTCAATTGAATCACTCCATTAAGCCAACTGACAATCTTTCATACGTGGCTCTACCTCTTCGACTTCACATGTTTTTTTTTAATAATTCTTAAAATTAAACTCCATATAGCTCACATCACATCCCCATTGTGTCAATGTTATAAGGACATGTTTGACATAACTTTTGAGACTGAAAATTGTTTTTGAACCCTTTTAGTTAATTTTATAAAAATACTTCTTTTAGTTAGAAGAGGTTTCAGAAGAAGTTAGTTGAATGTGACTTTATCTATAAACTCTTCCCCCAAAAAAAGGCTTTTTTTTTTTTTTTTAAAAAAAATTAGTTTTTAAATATCAATTAAAATGTTTTCTCAAGAGACATTTTTACAAGAAGTAAAAAAAAAAATCCTATCAAACGGGCTCCTAACAATCGGACACGGTCCGAGCACATTGGCGTTCATTTTGAGAGTTTTCATCACCTACTATAATTTCTTTGTTGTTAAAAACAAACATAGACCAATAGGGAAAATTGAGAATGGGTACAAAATTCGATCACATTACATATATATTCTTACTATATTAAAAGAGTGAATCCGCATATTACTGTTCATTTCTGAAGCTTTTTAATCACAATTCATCCATATCCATCTCTACTATTCACATAAGGTTTAAAGGTAATTTGGACTTCTTCTTACAATGCCCATAATTGTTGATTTTATTGCTCTTGAAGAGAAAAAATGGTGAAGACAATACTCCACGCTGTGCGGAGCAAAGTGACTCCGCACTATGCGGAATTAAAAAAAAAAAAAAAAACCTCCGCACATTGCGGAGTGTTGAAGGAAAAAAAAAAAATAATAATAAAAAAAACCGCACAACGCGGAGTGTGTGAAAAAAAAAACTCCGCATTGTGTGGAGTGTGTGTAAAAAATAAAAAAAATCATCCGCACAGCGTGAAGTGTGGTGTCCGTGGTGTACTGACACCAAACTAGGCATTGGTGTACGCACATCGCGGACACCAGATGCCTCGTGTGCAGACACGGTGAGGGCACCATGTCCGCACAACGCGAAATTTATTTATTTACTATTTTTTTTTTATATACATAGATAATGTTAGTGTCAGTTTAAATTGTTTACTTGTTAATAATATAGTTCGATGTGTAACTAATCTATTTTCCTAAACAAGTTTAGCGTCCCATATAATTATATTTTTCACCAATAAAAAATGCATTTTTATCGATTACCAATAATGTCAAAAATAGAAATAGAGAGATGCATGAAATTGTTTTAATTATATCAAGCCTAACGCATTAAATTTTGCAAGTAGGGCAAAAATATGATTAAGGAGCTATTTGCTGTTTTGTCACTTTTTGATTAAAATTGATAAAATGTGCAGTTGATAAACATTGTGAGTATATAAATGTATAATTAAAATTAAAATTTGATCAGTTTAGAAGTAAACAATTTTATCAAATAAGTGCAATGAAATTATTGTATCCTTACCTGTCAAGAATCTCCAAATTCAAAAATGGTTCAGGCAACCCTTCTGCTTCAGATTTTAGTGCACATTATAAAACCATCAAAATGAAAAATAATAATTTATATGACTAGAAAGTAGAAATTGTCTCCCTAATTTACATTCCTATAATCTATTTAATAATAATATTAATTTTTTATATTTACGAAGCTAAACCACTATCATTTTCAATCAAGATTCATCCATTTACCAGATTATAGATGTTATTGATATCCGACCTCACCAAGGTAAGCTCTGACCGAGGAGGACCGAGGGGGGGAGGGGGGTAACTGTTGATATCCGACCTCACCAGGCGAGCTCCGACTTGGGAGTAATTTGACTTGCGACCTCATTAAATACAGTTGGTTACATGCATTAAGCTTATACTTATATGAGTTCGGATATGTGATGTCAGCTCGATTTATGTAGTTTATCGAGACTCAAGGAGACATAATGATTGAAGATTCCTTACACACTGTCAAACGTCCAATCAATCAATTACATTTGGATAGGCTCATGACAACACCTCCTAATTCCACCAATCATATGCATTAACTTCCTTCCCTAAGTAATTCATTAATTGTTGAGGACCACATGTAAGATAAACTCATGATGACCGACAAGTCGAGCCCATTAAACTAATCCAAACATTCCAATGATACCTTCTCAACTCGGTATTGTAGTTGATAAGACAATGAAATGAAAAATACATACTAATCATTCCCTATAAAAGGGAGGATAAGAGTCTTGAAAAGGAAGATGATTCTAAACACATGATATTTCAAATATCTCATTTGACAAAAACAAAGGAAAACACTTGTAATTTACT